GTGATGACAATGCATGATTGATTGAAATACGATATGTTGAAATATTTACGAATATTAAATAATATATTGTGTTTTCTTATGTGCTATATATATAGATGTTTTCTTTTCTCACCGTGCGATTTGTGGATATTTTAGGTGAGGAAGATCTGGCTACGAGTGGTATCTAGAATGCCAACGGTTGAATTGTCGGGATGCTCTGATATTGTGACATCGGGGCAAAAAGGATTTTTAGAACATAGGTTTTTATTGTAAATGTTATTTTGAAAATAATTTGAAAACTCTTGCGTTTCATTTTTTGTTATTGTGGTTATTGAAGGATAATTTTTAAGATTCTCATGTGAACCCTTTTACCGAAATTGAAAAATTTATTTATAAGTTTTTATTATTAAAATATATATGTTGGGGTAGTAAGGGTGTCACATCTTCAACTTGGTCAAACTCATATGTTGTGTCGGGCTCGCTTGGTGCATAATTGACAGTATCTTGTAAATCAAGGTCAACATCTATGTTTCTAGTTTCACCATGTTTTGTCCAACATGAATAACTTCTATCAAATCCATTACATAGTAAATGTTCTTCAAACACATCCGCATTAACTATCTTTGAATGACAACACTTCAAGCAAGGGCAAATAATTCTACTAAGATCTTTTGCATGCTCAATCTTTTGCATGCTCAACTGCAAATCTACGAAACTCTTTCACCCCATCTTCATATTCTTTTGACAATCGACTAGCAGACATCCATTTTCGATTCATTTTTTCTTGATCTATCATATTAGTCATTGATAATAGTTACATCAATGTTAACATCTAATGACATAAATGCATGGTTTTAAAAAAATTGTTGTTTATCTATACTTTTCATACATCAAATAATAAAATAAAAAAGGAAATTATTTAAAGACTTACCTTAATATTTTAAATCTGTAAAGGCAAAACTTTCAACAAGTACAATAAGGCCTTTAATATTTTCAATAGTAGTTGTAAGTTCAACAATATCAACCTGCCATAAGATAAAATTAAAGTAGAAATTTTAATATAATTTTTTGACAATTAAAGTGATTATAACCAACTATTATTTTAATCTATATAATGATAGACTAAATATTTATTATATATATATATTATAATAAGTTATATAATAAAAAAGGTTATTTTAACTCAGGTATTCGTTGATTTTGTTATGTGATTGAATTTAATAGACAATTTAGCTAACAGGAATTATTATTACTTCATTTCCCACCATGTTAATATGGTAAATTTATGAAAAATAGTTCCTACCATGTTTCAACATTTTGAAATTGAAAAAAAGTAAAATAAAAATTAATATTACTAACACCCAATTTTGAAAACTTCCATTATTAATTAGTTTGTCCTCTAGAAAATCAACTTATTTTTAAAAAGTGACTTTTTTAAGAGAAAAATAAATTAATTTTTAATTAAAAAAGTAGTAATAATAATAAATATTAAAAAAGTGTCTTAGCCAAAACCGCAAACCAGTTAAAGTCAATTTTGGAAAGAAAATTTAGACATATATAATAATTAATATATTATCATCACTACTAATAATATTGTTCTTGAATCAAAATTAGTTATCATATTTCATTTTGTTAAACTGTTGTTGGCTTTTCAAGGTAACCATACATTTTATCTTGGTAACAAAAATTGATGCACCAATAATTAGGAAAACAATGCCACCGATATTTATGATCTGCTGTATATTATATTCATAAAATATGAACCCTGAGTTAAAATAACCTTATTTATTTATTTATATTAAAGTAGAAATTAAAGTGGTTATTTACTACATTTTTTTTACGTGTTTTATTTTCTTTATAGGCTGCACATAAAAATAACTTTGGATAAAGTTAAACATGCATGAAACTTTGTATTCATATTCTTGCATACACTTACACGTGGTATAAGATAACTTTGGGTGGTGCATATTCTATAAACACGGGGTATTGGAATCATGTTCCCAGGAACACGTGTATAACATTAGGTAAGCTTGTATTTGCTTACTCATGTCCTGAGGAACACGTGTATATCAATAAATAAGCTTGTATTTTCTTCCTATTTTTACAACTTCCTTAATTTTCAATGGTACTAGTTACACTGGCGATGCAGCTAGAACCAAAAAGGAAGCAGAGTAGTCAGCAACACATGTTGCTATTCTAACAATTATGGGTATCCTTTTGCATATGCTTTATTACATGTTTTGGGTGGATTTTAGGTAGAAATGTGCCTAGCTACTAAATGAGTATTTCATGCAGGTGATCCTAGCTCAGGAACTAAGATCATTGAGATGATTAAGTCAAAGTCTCCATTTTATGATGCACTCAAAGGAAAGAGCCTACCTCTGTTACAGGCCAATGCAGAGTTACCCACAACAAATGCAGGATAATTGGTTGTTACATTGGATCATAAAAATACAGGAGTTATAGACTGTGTGTCTGATAACAATGAAGCTAAAGTTGAATTTCCCGAGTCTTCCAAGATGCTTTCCACCTCTAAAGAATTTCAAATGCCAAAACAAGATATCCCCCCCGAAGCCATCAATGTATCTCTGCAACCTGGTTTAGCAAATTCTATTGATGATGGTTCTAGTTCAAAAAAGAGGAGAGAGAACAAGAAGGCTAATAAGAAGGCACGGCTAGAATCTCTGTAAGTTTCCATAATCTCTCATATCTGTTATTTTGTGTGGTTTTTCTTTTTGCTTCCTTTGCTATTTTTTTCTTCATTCTCCCCCGACCCTCCCTAGCATTTTGTCTACATGTTTCCTTTGTCTGTCCATGTTTTTTGAAGTTTGCATTGTCCAAATGGATGTTAATGTTATGCCTTAGTAAATTACCAGTGAGGTGAACTTGCAATGAATAGTAAATAAAAAGTGAGTAAATATTAGTTTAATAATTTCTGGATACTTGTCATTCTAAAGAAAAAAACAAATTCACCTTACAATCTGTTTGAGATCATCCTTGTTTCGTTGGTGCCTGTATGTTGGAGCTTTTGCTTGGGTAAAAGAAGTTTGTGTAGGTATTACCATATTATGTAGTGAGGGATGATGTGTACAATACATGTTTTAGTGGCTTTATAGTGGGATGTGATTTAAGCTAGATAGGTAAGTACATGTATTTACTTGTGTGGGAGGCAAAGTTATTCATATGCTTTTTTTTGTGTATGTGGATGTGTGTATTGTGATTAATTGAATGTTATGTTGTGAAAATTTGCAGCTTACTGGCTACTGCAGTTCCCATGAACCAAGTCCCTCCTTGTTTGATGGTTCAATAAGTTGTGTTTGTATTATGTAGTGAGGAACTATGTATACAATTCATGTTTTAGTGGATTTATAATGAGATGTGATTAAAGATAGATAGATATGTACATATATTTTCTTATTTGGGAGGCATATATATATATATATACATATATATATTTGTGTGGATGAGTCTTGTGATTAATTTAATGTTTTGTGAATTTTGTAGTACTACGTTTCCCATGAACCAAGTCCCTCATTCGATGGCACAGTAAGTCATGTTTGTATTATGTAGTGGGGGACAATATGCACAATACATGTTTTAGTGGCTTTATAATTGGATGTGACTTAAGATAGGTAGATATGTACACATGCTTGCGTGGGAGGCAAAGTTATTTAAATCTTGTTTTGGGTGGATGTGATTAATTGAATGTTGTTTTGGATTTTCTATCTTACTGTTATCTATTAGACACCTTTTTTTCTCATACAATAAATGATATATATAGACTCAAGAATTGTAACATCCCCATAAAATAGGCTTTATTAAACATGAAAAAGAAATAAAACTGAGTTAAGAAAGGTGGAATAGATAACCTAGATGCCTCTAAAAATTAGAGAAGACTCATTGTGTACACACCACCCACCTAAACTAAAAGAAATAATATCACACAAAGCAATATTAATATTTTTACCATAAGCTTTTTTTTAATTGGGCTTGCATAACTCATTATTCTTTGGTGAGTGATCTAATGTTTTTGGCCCTTTCCTTACAGAAACTGAAAGCCGAATGCAATAGTGGTAAGTATAAAAGGTTATAGAAAGAATGCAATAGTGTTAAGTATAAAAGGTGATGGAGTTGGGTTGAAGCAAGTGAAGTAGTCTTGCTCCTTTGGACCTAATCCGAATATGAAGACCTTTTCCTTGAGCTTGCCATGATTCAAATGGAGGAAGAAGATGAATGGAGTGATAGGAGAATCCCTAAGCTAAGGATGGAAGCATCCAAGCTAAAGATCCAAATGAGAGCTCATTTTCAAGCTTAGGAATGGAGGTTTTCCTAAGGCTAGGGTTAGTGAGATTTCTGTGACTCTTGGAGAGAATTTGGCTGAATTAAAACTCAGAATTCTCTATTAATCAAAAGTGTTTACAAGAGTGAAGGTTTCAAGCATTTAAAGCCATGGATCAAAGGAGTTTTGGAGCCATTCCATGTGCACTCAAAAGTGGCGCCAATTTGAATTCAAATTCAAATTTGAATTCAAAGTTGAACGTCCACTTGCACATGCCATGTGCAGCCAGCCCTTCTAGAATTCTAATTGCATTTAGAAGTAATTTAGGGTTCATTTAAGTGTACACATGTGCAGCCACCTTTGGCACAAAACATGTGACTCAAATGAAACTCTAATTACTCTTAAATGTAATTAGCATTCTATGATTCATGCTTTAATACTTAATCCTTCTAAATTCCTATGATAATGGCCTAAATACAATGGCCAAGTAAATTCAATGGAAAGGAAAAATTACAAGAATGAAAATGAGCCCAATATTGGGTACCAAAAGCCCAAAGGCCCATGAAGCCCAAAACTAGGCCCAATAAGCCTATGGCCTAAAATGCTATCCTAAATGGTCCAAAATACAAGACCCAAATATAGGAAACCTATACTAACATGATATATACAAGACATAAGAAAATAGCTAAAACAAGATATGGCCCATGAGAAGTTCAACTTGGGCCTTCCAAGCCCATCGGGCCCATTGGGCCTTGACTGGCCCAAACCTTCCTGTCTAGCCCATTCCTCTTGGCTCTTTCAATGTGTCACCCCTTTCCTTCCTAGGCATGATTCCCTTACAGAACTTTGGCCTTTCCCTTACAGAAACTGAAAGTCGAATGCAATAGTGGTAAGTATAAAAGGTTATAGAAAGAATGCAATAGTGTTAAGTATAAAAGGTTACAGAAACAGAAAGCCGAATGCAATAAAGCAGAGATAATCTTGTCTAATTATTAAAATTTCAAAACAACACAAATCATCATACATCATTCGCAACAATCTCGTAACTAAATACAAAAATAGTAAATATAAAAATAAAAAATAAATGCAATATTTGACTAAAAGAAGGTAATCACATATACAAGAACTCACATTTTTTTATTTCTTATAAGAAGAAAAGAACGTAACTTCAATGAATCTTGCAAAAAGCCTAGTCAAGGATGAATCTTGCAAAAAAAAAGCCCTAGATTTCTCCATGGAAGAGATTAACGTCTTCGTCACAAAATTTGTCATAGATTAACGTCTTCATCACGTAATTTGTCACGATGCATTCATCTATTCATCAAAGAAAAAGTACAGAAAGAAACGAAATTTAATATTTGTTTCAAACTTGAATCAAAGTTAAGCATTAATGGAAAAAAATATTCGATAAAGAAAAAAACAAAGAAACACCTAATGATAAAAACCTGGAATATGAGTCAATAATGTGAATGCTGAGCGTACCTTGAGATACACTTTACGAACAACAATACAAATGTTGTGAATGATGATGAAGGAAGACTCCACAATGAGTGATAAGGATGATTACAACATGAAGGAAAAGAACCGAGAGGGATAGTGAATAGGAAAAGAACTGAGAGGGACAGTGAATAAAAATGTGAACAGTGAGGGACCAATAGAGAGTGTTTTTTTTAATAAGTGCTTTGTAGTTATTTTTTCACAAAAGTGATTTTTCAATGAGCACCATAATAATTTTTTAAAAAAATAATTAATTTATAAAATTTTATAAATGACGCTTCTATTCACACGCGCTATCTATTTATTTTCTTTAGAAAACCCTTTTTTAGAAAAGTGCTATAACATATTTTTTCATAAATAAAATAATACAAAGATAACATTTGTTTTATTAAGTGCTCTCTATATAAAATCTTTTTAAAATCTTATAAATGACGCTTCTATTCACACGTGCTATCTATTTATTTTCTTTAAAAAGCACTTTTTTAGAAAAGCGCTATAACATATTTTTTCATAAATAAAATAATACAAAGATAACATTTTTTTTATTAAGCGCTCTCTATATAAAACCTTATTATGACGCTTATTTAATTAAGCGCTCTTTTAACGTTTTATGTTTTAAAACACAACACTTATTAATTAAGCGCTATCTATTGCCACTTTTGGTGTAGTACTCTAGCTTGAATACTTTGGATGAACCCTAGAGTCTTCCAATTGATAGTGATAGAGATATTGGGTCCATATAATAAGAGCACCTTGGGAGCCTTTTAAAGACCGGTGAGAATAGTTAGAACCACCTTATACCATGCACCTTTCTTTACAGGGACCTCAACCCATGGATTTAAACATGTATGTTCGTGGGTGTACGTTGTTTGAGCAAGTGTTTGTTTACTTTATTTGTTTCAATAGGAGTGGTTAGAATTTTAAACAAGAAAATAGATAATAATAAATAAAAATAAAAAATTAATACCCTCTTGTATGTCCTTAGGTCATCACTTTAATAACATCATCTAAGTAGTTTCTTTTTCCTAAAAAAAATGAAAAAACATACTCGTTATCATGTATCATCTCTTCATAGACAATCAAAATATGATAAGGCTTAGGTAGAAAAAATTTTCATCATTCTTAGGATAGTACATTAATGTTCATTAATTTTTATCATTAGATTTGGAAGGCATAGATAACAGCATGCATATGGCATTGAGAAAAGTGAACATTATAAATGGTGCAATGCCAAGAGTCAATAGCTTATGTGTCTTAACGCCGAAGGAGGTCCAATCGGATTTCGAGAAATGTTACGAAAGGATTCTTGATCTACTAAGAATAATTGTTAACCTTGCCTTTATGAGAGCCTTGATACATTTTTGGAAATCAGAACTCCACTATTTTGAGCTTCCACACCTCGATATAGTACCCACCATAGAGGAATACGACTTAATGATCAAGTGGCCCAAGTCGGAAGGCGTTTACATTATTAGAGAAAAAACTATTTCCATAGAAAGAGTGGCCAAACTAATCAAATTTCCCCCTCATATATAAACCTTGGAAGGAAATGGGGTAATCAAAGGATGAAAGCTTTCTACACTAGAGAGTCACCTTTCCTTTTTGGCTAATCAAGGAGATTGGTTGATCTTCAACAAGACTTTCGCTCTGGTCATATTTTGGATTATCCTTTTCCTTTTCCATGAGAAGATGGTGGACCACGCTGCAATTGATGATTTCTTTTCCTAGGATGCACATTTGAAGAGTCTTGTGCCTGCCATTCTTATCGACACCCTGATTTCTTTTGACATCTATAACTAGAAGTCAGGAAAGCAATAGAAGTGTTGTAACTTGTTGCTATATGTATAGGCATATACCCATTTATTCACCAAAGGACATATAGGAAAGTTGCCCAATCCATTGAGAAGTTTCCCCAAAATACCCATGCCAAAGAAATACCTATGGGTTGGAAAGCTGAGTTGGAAGGTCATACCGAGGATTCTTTCACATGGGCATGCCTTTAGTTTCGTCCCGAACAAGTATTGATCTGATGTGGCAATTTCCTTAGCATTCCTCTGATGGGACTGAGAAGATGCATAGCCTATTCCCATATGCCAGCATTGAGGCAACTTTGGAGAACTCAGACTTTGCCTAGGTCAAAAGACCTTGAAGGGGTTTGTTACCTTTACTCCCCCAAGCAACAAAAAATGAAGAGTGCTATCAAGGAAGTGTGGGACAAACCAGTCTACTTTGGAGACAACAAACTAGGAAGACCTAGGGTAGCTTCTTCTAGTGACTACGACCTATGGAGAAGCGAAAGAGGAACCACCAGTATGATGAGACCTACATATCAATGCAAGCAATAACAAATCAAAACCTTGACCAATAGAATGGAAATTTTAGAAACCTAAGTAAGAGCCTTGGAAGAAAAGGATGAAACATCCAATCTCATCATCAACAATCCACAAAGGCAGTGCAAGAAGAAAGACATGGAGATTGAGCGCCTAAAATATGAGTGTGCTGATAAACATGAAAAGACTATGGTGAAGTTGTAGAGAACCGACCTGGACGCTCAACTTCAGGAAGCTTTATCAAAGATGACACAACTCAAAGCTAAAGTCCATGAACAAAAACAACTGATAAGTGAAGCATAGAAGGACCTATCTATGACCTGATCTGAGATCCAGGTTTGGTGGGATGTATCCCAAGAATGAGCTATCACT